ACCCGTGGGGGACCACAACATTAGTAAAAAGCGAGAAGGGGGAAAAAAAAAAAAAAAAAAAAAAAAAAAAAAAAAAAAAAAAAAAAAAAAAAAAAACATAAAATGTTACTATTGAGCAGAGGTTCCCAAACTGTGGGGCGCGCCCCCTAGGGGGGCGCCGTGCCATTGCAGGGGGCAGGGGGGGAAGCGGTATGGATGAATAACAAAAATAAATAAATAACAGGGGCGGAGCTTAGAGCACCGGTGAGCAGCATGCAGACGAAAAAAGGGAGAAAAGGGAAAGAAGCTGTTCGGATTCATTTAACTTGCTGTTTGCAGTTTGTTGTCACTTTCCTTTGATGTGTGTGTGTGGAAATGCAAGTAATGTTAGAAGTTAAGGACATTGTTTATTTAGCAGAGTATTTAAGTTTTTACCCTTAATTGATAGCATGCTTTGTTCACATGTGCACTTAAGAGCTACAGAGCGTGGGTTTTTCATGTTGTGTATTAATTTAAAAACGGATGTTTGTAACCTTAATATTGCAGTTATTTACTAAGTGTGATATAACTTCAGTCATTTTATTTAGGCATTATTCAGACACTGATGCTGTATTATTATTTATCTTTTCTAGAACCACACAGTTACATCAAATTAAGAAATAAACAGCAAGTGCAAGTTAAACCCACTGGAGTGCCACTCTGCCTTTTCTTTGGAAACCACTGGGGGGGCCCAGGAGAAAAAGTTTGGGAAGCACTGCCATAAGTGACAAAAGCACCTCCAAAATGGCAGCTGTTGTGGTGCAGTCATTGTCTGCAGAAATCAGGATCCATCAACGTGGGGAGCTGGAGCCAAGCCCAAGCATAACTAAGGCCGTCTTTGCATCCGATAGTCCAAAAGACTAATATTTGTTTCATTTTCATCTGGTGCGGTTTGCTTTCACTGCACTCAGTCAAAAGATCCAAACCGCTTGAACAAGCTGTTCCCCCTCTTGCCTGTGGTGGTGCTTGAGAAAATAAATTTAAAATAAGCTAGTTATAAAACAACATGTCTCGATTCAAATGGCCTAAATTGTGGTTTTAAAATCAGTAACATATTCTGACTTTTTGACCTTTAATTTGCCTGTAGTTACAGCAGATGGTTTGCTAGGATCGTTTGAACTGCCTTTTGTCTGTGTGGGAAAACAATACAGTAGAAGTTCTAGCTTTTCACACTCATCTGTGAAAAGCCGTAAACACGGCAGGAGTTTCTGGCTTCAGACAAAGGGTCAGAGATAGCTCCTGGTTGGATGAGGAAAGATACGCCTTATTTGAATAAATTAAAGATAAGAATACGCCTTCACTATAAAACTTTCTACACAGAAGTAACAAATTAGATTTTGCTCTTGCAATTTCTCCAAAGACGTCTTTGCTTTTTGTTTGTCATTTCCATCTGTTGTCTTTTTCTCTCTCAGGTAAATTCATGTGTTGTTTGTGCTCTGAGGTTTCTGATGTTTTGTGATGTGTTTGTCTGGTGATAGTTTGCATCTGTCTTGAATAAATGCTGATTATTGTGAAGCTGTTATCTCTGTGTGATCTCAGTCTTTGCGAACAGCATTTTTCTGAACCCGGGCATAAGAGAGGATTAAACGAGTCAAAATGTTTTTAAAGTTCAAGAATTTTTCCTCTCTTAACAATTAGGGACTCGCCCGATTCTGAACAAGTGCTGTGCGATTGACGCTGGGACCGCAGTGAGCGACTTTGAGCTCTGTTTTGTCCACGATACAGGTGCGTCTCCTGATGCGAGTTTGATTTCTCTTTGACGCACTGGTTTGTGGCTTCGACCGGATCTTTGGTTTCATTGCAGAGAAACGATTGTGTGCTTTTTCTTTTTTGGATCTTAGCATATAGGACTTTTATTTTTACCATGGTGAGT